TCTATTGCATGAGCCATCTACATTGGTCTTGCCCCGGTTTCACCACCTTTTTCTTGGATAAATGTGAAAGCATCCGCACGAAGACCACTGGCGATATTTGCATCGGAGGTTTCATTACCCTAATTGGTTTGGGTGTGGGCCTTCACTTTCCCAAGTCTGAGTATGTGCCAGTGGATGATCCACCTCTCTACCTCCTTGACTACATAGCTCTCACCCGGATGGAATTACTGATACCTCATCCTACCCGTCATAACCATTTTTCTTGGCTCAATCATGTCAAGGAACCAGTTTACATCTTGCCTAATCCTAGCATCTCCGCCTTTTGCACCAGCGAGCCTGAAACTTGGTTCTTGCCTGAAGAGTTACACGATGATGATGATGAAATGCAAGTCGACAATTCCAATGTTGGTAGTCCATTTAAGGCCGAAGACCATTATGACCTCCCGATCCGACAATTGCCACCACCTTATGATCAGCCCTCGGGATCACACTTTCAGCCGCAACATGAGTACCACTCCTATCAGCAACACAATGAGCCCGATCCCGAGCACGAATTCCTTCTTGATATCTACAGTCAGCTTGCCTCATTGCGCCTCCAGGGCAACCGGAACACAGCAGCCATTCGTCGCATCGAGGAGCAGCAAGCCCGCGCCAACAACTACATGGAGGATCTTTGGTATCATTTTCGGCCCGAAGACGGTTACCCCCCTCGTGGGCCTCCTCCACCTTGATCCCGGTATGATCCTTCCTTACTCTCATCCTAAGTATTGAGGACAACGCTTCATTTTAAGCTTGGGGTGAGGTATGCTTATATTTTATTTTTATTGCATTTAGGTTGTATATAGTTGCATTTAGAGTAAGTCATTTAGGTCATTCATAAAAAAAAATCAAAAATATTGCATATTTTGTTTCTTTCTTTTCTAATTTTCATGCTTTTTAGATGCATCCTAGTTTAAGTTCATGCATTTTTGTTCTCTCTTGTCTTCTCATCCCTACAGGTACCAGAGCACCGAGTCATAAGTATTGAATCATAGATTGGTCTCGGGTCTTGATATGGAATTCCTTGTATTAGATAAATGGGACACGTTTTGAGCCTCACGGACTATTTTAAGACCGCTTGTGTGGGGGTCGGATGCAGGTAGCTTGATTGGGTCTAGGTGTGGAGGGATGTGGTTGGTCAAGCCAATGTGTGCGAGCAAAGATTAGCCCGGTAAGGTATTATGAAGACATTCAAGATATTGAAGACTCGCATCTTAGTTTTGGAGGGAGTACCCTTTAGTACTCCCGAGTCTCGTCCGAGCCTTACTTAGTTAGATTCTCACCACCTTTTTAGGATAGGTTATCATTTTTCTAGGGGTCTAGAGTAGATAGTTAGATAGATTTTGTTTATCACACCTTGCATTGAGGTGCTTGATGAACTTTGAAGTGGGTTCCCCAATTCACATCTTTTGGGACCAAGTCTTTTCGGTAACACCCATTTTTGAGTCATTCCCCACCCCTTCTAGTTGATCTTGGCACATTGTCAATGATCATTAGGCGTTCATGTTAGCCTCCATCCTTTGTTACATGGTGAAATTCCTTAGACCTTCAAAGAAGAAAACACAAAAAAAATGAAGAAATTGAAAAAGTGAAGACAAAAAGAAACAATGAAGAAGATTAAAGAAAATCAACAAAAACAAAGAAGAAAAATGAAGAAAAAGAGCAACACAAAAAAAGAAGAACAAGAATCCAAGTTCAAGGCTTTAGTTCAAAAAAAAATGAAGACTCAAGAAGACCGAATATCAAGCAACAAAGAAGCTGAATACCAAATAACAGAAGTTCAAGATTGAAGATTTAAGTTGCTAGGTTTAGATTTAGGTTAAGTAGAATTTTATTTTATTTTATTTTATTTTTGATTTTTGGAGAGAAAAGGCCTTGACGATGAGATGGTAGACTGTAAAGGACAGTACAAGGGAGAAGCCTCTGAAACCGGATGTTTGCCCGGAGGCCGCACTGTAAAACCCTATTTCGTACTATACACTTTAGCCTGACAAATATAGGAATCATAGTGTGTGAAGAGGCGCCTTTCCTTCATGCATTATGATCTGCATTGGTGATTTAAAGTGCCCCCACTGGGCGCATCTCTGTTTTCTTTGTCTTGCACACCGCGACTGCATCCAACCGTGATCTATTCGCCCATCGAGTGGTTGAGAATGTGGTTTATGGCTCTAAAGCGGGGAACATTTCTGAAGATGCGTAGGGCCCATGAAGGACTAATTCTGACCATGTTGACTGATGTTGACCAAGTTCTATGGTACCTTTCTTTTTCCTTTTTAGTTTAGCTCATCCCCGATCATATTAGTCTTGTTCTAACTTGAGGACAAGTTAGGTTTAAGCTTGGGGTGATTTGATAGCTTATTTTATTTCCTTATTTTTATTAGTTTATTTTAGATTTTTAGATCTTTTTATCATTATTGCATTGTATTTTATTTATTTTCTTTAGTATGGATCGTACCGGGTGCTTTTTATGTTGCATGAGGTATTTTGCAGGGTTTTGGAGCTTATCGCGATTATGGATTAGAGCGAAGACGGACTTGTGGGCTCTCGAGGCGCTATTGGGCTTGGCGGATCCATAAAAGAAGACTTGGGCCTTAAAGAATTGAAGACTTGGATATTTTGGACTTGTGAAGATGGGTCATAAACTTCTATTTTTGGGCTTGGAACATCCACTTTTGTAGCTAAATGATGATTGGTTGGTTTAAATCACATGGATATGGAGGGGACCAAAGGAATCTTTGGTAATGGAAGGGTGGAGTGGAGGAATGAAGGTCCAATAGCATTACAACAACATTTGCGCGCGTGGAATTTTCGTCGCGCGGGTACCCGCGCTACTGCCCAGTTTGGGTATTTTGGTCATTTGGCTTGCCATTACCTTGGGGGACCAGATCTAGCAACTATAACTTCGATTTGACACCATTGGAGAGCTGAAGAAGGCGATTTTGAAGCTCAAGACTCATTTCTTTTCATCTTTCCAAGTTATTGGTAGTTTCTTTATGCAATTAGACTTTTGTGATTGTTGTTCTATTGCCATGAGTGGCTAAACTCTCTATATTGGTTAACTTTGGTTAAAACCTTTGAATGTTTGTGGGTTTTTGAAGGATTCATGTTAGATTATCAATTATCTTATGTTTATGGTTCTAGATCATATTTCTTATGCTTGTTTAATGCTTTAATCATGAGCTTGGCACTTGAATGAGCTATTGTTAGTTTATTTCTTTGGTTTTGCATTGAATCATTGAATTAACTTAGAACAAGAGCTTTATGATGGTAAAAATCATCTCTAGTTTATGAATCATAACTCCTTTATGGATGTGTAAACATTGACATCCTCTAGGAATTGGGGATTCCTTCTTTCTTAAGGTTAATTAACTTCTTGGGTTCAATTGCTTCAATTAAACCCCTTGATCTTGATTAAGAATGTGTGTTGTGGGCTTCCCCAACCTCCATACTACCTAAGAGGAATCTTGACATATCATGCTTCATGATTGCTATAATCAATTTGGGATGAATGATAAGCTTCATGTTGAATCCTAATGATAAACACACAAATGTTCATTGTGTTGAATTGCCTTGGTTAACCAATTATTCTCAACATTTGAGCATCTCACCATCTTGCTTAATTGCAAGCTTTTTAGTTATTCAAGTATTTTAGTTTTCAAGCAATCACAACACCCCCCCCCCCCTTTTTTTTAGTTTAATTGTAGTTAGTTAGTTTATTTACACTAGTTCTATTAGATTGCATTGGTGATTGAATACAACCATTTCCCCGATGATCGATACCCCTTTTTACCATTATATTACGTTTTATTTGCAAACAAATGGTGTAATTTGCTTGGTGGACTTGACATCCCACCATAACCCGATACCCAAAAATTATATCTTATCAACAACCCTAGACCCTTCAATCACCAATTCCGATTAGATATTTGTATATTAGTTCAGTTAAAAAAACGCTTAAATATATATAAACATATTGAGTGTTGTCCATATAAAATTCGTTAACTTGGAATAAAAACACAAATTTATGTCTTAATACTCTCACGATTAGCGTAAGGATACGGGTCAAACGTATGGGAGCGAAAACCACGACAGTCGACACCATAAAAGTAAAATAACCCATTCAAAACAACTGGGCTGGAGAAGCCCGATAGATTAACATATGGCATATGGGATCGGACTATGGGAGCTAAAGTCAGGACACCAGCGATGAGTAATGACCAATAATCCAATACGGTAAAAAACTCAAATAGCCCGTATTTAGGCCTAAATACTGGAATGTTTAGTTAAACCCAACCCAAAACACGTGGCCTCCAATCAAGTACCCATATATTGCACGTGGATTATTGGGTTGCAAGATTCATTGATTCCTTATCTTGGTTGGTCAAAACACTCAAACCAACAAACCTTGCAATATCCAAAAACTACTTTCTCGTTATAAAGAAAAATGTAAGTTTTTAATAATATTTAAATCCGTTTGGAAAAACACTAAATTTTTATTTCATCTTTTTAAATCAGCATTTTTGCGTACTGCTAATCATTTTTTTTTAGATATTTCATGTTAAAGCAAACATTTTGTTTATATTATTCTAAATTAAAATATTTTTACCAAAAAGCATATCACGAAACAAAGTAAATTGCTTTCTCAAGAATTCCTTGTAAACAAAGAAAAAATTATTCTAAAAAATGAAAAATGTTTTCAGAATTTTATGAATGTATGCAACATATTTAACTTTAATTAGTATATAATATAACAGAGTATCATATATTACCATTTATTACTATAACAAAATATCATTAATATTAAAAAAAATGTTCCGCTAATATTATAATAATCATCAATAAAGAAAGTTTATTATTCTGGTTTGTTCCCCAGACAAAGCAAGGTACTACTTGATGCTCTTCTCGATGCCTGGGCACTTTGTTTCACCCAATCATTTTATTTTTACCTTTCAACCCAAGTCTCTTTCATCACCCCTACCTACAAAAACAATCAAAACCCAACGGCCAACACACCTATATATTCCAAACTCATGCATTAAACACTTGTACGTAACACAACAACACCAAAAAACCTCTCTTACTTAAATACATATAACTAACTACCAAACAAAACCATAAAATCAAAAAAACAAAATAAACAGATCACACATACACAACAAACATCGCAAACAACTCCTTATTACGAATTCGAGTTCCTCAGTGGTGACTCAGGGAACTTCTTCGTGTTGCGAGCCGGTGAACCGGAGAACGAAAGCCGTTTCTTGGCTGACCCGGCCACCGAACCTTTCTCAGAGTTTCCTTTCCTTCCTGACCCTAATGGGCTTGGACTAGGGCTCGCCCCTCGAGACCTCGCCTTCGTCGATTTCGTTGAAGCCATGTAACCAGGAACCGCCGGCGATGAACCAAAGCTCTCGTCGTCACGCACCGAGCTAGCCACGCTGTGCCGCCGGTTTCGTTCCGACTGCACGCTGTAATAGCTCCGGGTGTCTTCATCCACGCTTCCCTTTTGGCTTTCCGGCCTCACCCTGCCGCTAGATGACGGAGGTCTGGCGGGTGACTGGTGGCTAACCGGCGGTGCTTTGTCGGAGATGCTTTGATTTTCCCAGGGCCTGGCGGCCATCCACCGTTCCAGCCAACTCCATCCCCAGTGAGGATTGTTTGGGTCTAGAAACATCGGATTTGTAGAATTTTTGGCGTTCTTCCATGTTTGCTGATGAGAATGTGCATATGCCATCGCTCTTTCTCTTCTTACAGCAGCCTCATGTCTGTTTTGTAACCTAGCTTCAATTTCCTCTTTCGATTTTCTGCTGTCATCCCACGAGTTTCCAAACTGTAATCCCGAAAGTTTTATTAATCGTTAAAAACTTAAAACACGGAAAAGATGATAAAAATTTAACAAAAAACATGATCTTTACCGAGGATCTAGTGGTGTTAAACTCTTTCTCGTGCTTCAGAAGGAATTGTCGTTTGAAAGTTTGGTTCTCCTCCGACATACGAATGCGTCTTGATCGGACCTGTGACTGAACGTGAGCCAATGTCTGCATACATTTTAAAGTGGAGATCGCTTGGCGTTTAACCGATTGACCTTGAATCAATGACTTCAACCTCCCTAATCCTCTCACAGCACGCAACGCCCTTCTTGCCTGAAAACTATAAACCCTTAGAAAACCGAAACATTGTTTTGAACATTTTCAGAGGGTGTTATGTTAAATCAGACGGAAATTGATTACCAGGTGGCCGCGATAAGCTGTCTGGATCTTGATGGCGGCAATTTCTTCTGTGGATTTACCCACAAAACGGGTTGTAGATGTCAGGCGAACAACCTGCGCGGCGGCATGGGCGGCTGCCACCGCTGCTTCTGCTGCCACGGCGGTAGCATATGCGACGGAATAAGCGTGTTTGGTCTGTTCATTTTCGGCTTCGGTGAGTTTTGCGTCCTCTGTGGGAGGAGAGCGAGTGGCAGCGGTGGTGGCAGTGGCAGGGTATGGTAATCCGGCGGCTTCTGTTTGGGAGAAATCTTTATCCAACCTCCTTTGCTTCCCGAACCAAGATTTTTTTGGAGTACGTTTATCGGATCTCTGTCATGTGAAAAGTTAAAACCCACATTGGCATTTCATCAAACAAAGAAAGGAAAGAAGATGAAACACAAACCTTTTCTTTCTTCTCCTTCGAATCAGAAGGGCTTAGAGCTTTTTTTACTGCAGAAAACCAATTTCCCTTCTTCTTGCCCATTTGCTGGTCAACTCATCTTCAAAACAATAACCATCGAATTAAAAATCAGAATGATATGCACATTATAGTAAACAAATTCAAACTACTTACAACAGATCAATCATTTCCCACTTCTATTTAATTTTGATATACTCATTTTAAGACGAACACAGTCACACACACACACACAAAACTTACGTTTGAAAATACGATAGAACTTGCAAATGCGAATTGATATGAAATCATTTGAGTACACTAATTAACCAAACCACGAGCATTGCAATCACCCAGAAATATCGAATGCAAGTATCGATCATACAGTTCCTTATATTTTCGGGAAGAACAGAACGATAAGTGACTCTTGATTAGAGAGAACAATGTTGATGATTTGAATAAAAAAAACAGAGATCAACAAAAAAATTAACACACACACCCACATGAATTATCCTGACATTTCTGGGGAGAGGCGGTAAATTAAGGAGAAAACATGCATTGGTGTTAAATTAGAAGTGAAATACCTGCAACAGAGGAGCCAATTAATGCAACAAAGATGGAATAAAGTAATCAGTTGGTGCAGAGAGAGAGAGAGAGAGAGAGAGAGAGAGAGAGATCTTGTGAATGTGAATGTTTTGTTTGAATGGAGAGAGAAGTGACAAAGAGGATTTGATTAAATGGATGGTATTTTGGGTAACGGACAGATGGGTTGATGGTAATTTCGCCATGGGAGGTGGCTTTCATGTCGAAAAACACAAGTAATATATTTTTCTTTTAAATTAAAAAAAAATCTCCGTATATCTTTTAATTTAACGCGTAGTTTTGATAAAAATATTTGATGATGTGTTACAAGTTAAATATTTTTTAATAAAAACAAATTAAAGAACAATGATTCAAGTTTCTTAGTTTCACAATTGAAAATAAAAATGATCGTAATTGAAAACTTACAACAAAAAAATGCACTAGAACTCCAAATATAAACTATAAAGTTGTAAACTGCAAAAATAATGATTTTTTTAATACTATACCATTTCATATGTATCGTTTAATTTTGATATTTGAAATTTTTATTCTTCAATTTTTAACTTATTTATTTTTCTTTTTGATATATAATACTTTATGCAAAATATATAAATGTAGTGTGTTTTTAAATGTCTTTTCATTGTTATAAGTTTCATCAAGAAAAATATATCACAAATAAAAATATTTAAGGTCAAAGTTGAAAAATAAAAAACTTCAAAAGTTAAAATTGAACAATAAATATGAGACAGACAGAGTATATTTTTTTGGATAATGACGATCATTGGCGGTTCTATATGGCATCCTACAGTGGCATGGCAACGCCTGACTTTCGTGTACGCAGTGCAAAACATTTTGAATTTTTTTCTATTATAACGCAACTACTATTTTTTCTCGTGCCACAACTAGTATAAAATCTTGCGTCCGTATCTGATGACGATATGGTAATAAACTAGGGATAAACATAGACATGTACCCGCCTCATTTAGAGAGAACCGAAACTGAAACCGGAACCGACGGTTCCTAGAAGGTTACAACTGAAACCAGAATCAGTCTAGGCACTTCTTGAATTTTTTGGAACCAATCCCGGAACCGACATTTGTTCCAAAAGCGGGTAACCTGGTTACATAAATTTTATTAACTTTTGTCAATAAAACAACAATTTACTTCTGTCCAAATCGAATCAATTCAGATCAAAGACAGACAAAATATGACCAATATATTCTAAACCGATCTAAATAACAAACACATATTCATATGAAATACTAATATATATATATATATATATATATATATATATATATATATATATATATATATATATATATATATATATATATAAACCAATTTCAGTGGGTACCCAACAGGTAGCGGTTCCGAAAAAATGAGAACCGAAACCGCTTAAGACGATTCCAAAACTTTAGGAACCGAAACCGGAACCACTTAAGGCGGGTCCAGTTATAGAACCGACAGTTCTGAGATGGTTTTAGTTTCGAAAACAGGTACCAAGTTCTGATGCTCATTCCTGTAATAAACTATGTTTCTTACTCATATTTTATTATGTTGTTTTATTATTAATATTGTAGGGTTGAGGAGGCATGGAGGCTGATAAGGAACAAGGCTCAAGAATAAATGAGGCCTAAATAGGGGTAAAACACTAAAAAATGAGGGTTTCTAGCTGAAGGGAGTACGCCTCGCGTATCCCTTAGTACGCCCGACGTACTTAAAAGATAGTCGTGATCCATTCACCAACTACACCCAGCGTACTTGGTGAGTACGCCCCGCGTACTCGACCAAGCTCCAAAACACTTAAACTTCATTTGGCCATAACTCCTTCGTTCCAAGTCCGTTTCCGACGAACTTTATATCCACGGAAAGGTGACGAGAAACCCTACACTTTTAACAACTTACCCCGCCTTAAGACTTCCCGAACACAAACCCAAAATTCATAAAGGCCCGAACTGCTAAAATTACGATTATACTCTTGGGCTCCGAAACACAATCAAACACTTGGATCACTTAATCTATAATTCCCACATCCAAAAAAGGACTAATTCTCTCTTTCCCCAAGGCCCAAAGCCTTAAGATAACTGATGATCGGGTCACGACCCCAAATAATGAAGCGATTCGAAACCGAGTGTTACAATACAAACATCTGTAATTGGATGTTATAAAATGTAGTTCCATGTATATCATGATGAGTAAAGGTTATAACTATGTTGTAACGACCCAAAATTCCAAGGTAAAAATTTCATTTCAATATAATTAAAACAATATTGTAACTTCGTTCAAGACATTGAAAAGCATTTCAAATAAAACAATTATCAGAGTCCAATCCCAAAGATCACGTAAATCGGAAAACACGGGTGTATGCGCTGCGATCGTCCCAAGCTCTTTCATTTGAAAACTGGAGTACCTGAAACAAGAACTGAAAACCGTAAGCACGAAGCTTAGTGAGTTCCCTAAATACCACATACCATACATATCAAACGATACATACAAGTCATACATAACCGCGAGCCATACATATCATTCATATATCATAATCAATAAAGGTGCTATGTGCCGCACATAGTCTTGCCATTATGCCACAAGCCACCTCGTGGTCTTTCTTGCCAGGCCGGGGGCCACAAACCTGGGTCTTTCAGACAAGTGACAGGAGCCACCTCCGGGTCTTCCATGCAAGCATCACAAAGACAACTAGCATACAGTCTACAACTACTTAACTAATAATTGCCAGAGTTCAGACTCTGGTCTTGCATACAGTGTGCCAGGAGCCGCCTCCTGGTCTTTTATACATAATGCCAAGGGCTAACCCCCGGGTCTTTCTACAATACATAAACCAGATGGGCTGGCATTGGTGCCTTCGACCCATACAAACAGTGAGGAGACTCACCTTGAATGCAGAAACTCAGTGAAAGGAATCCTTAGTCGCTGCCATGTCGACTTCCCAAACTAACAATTACCAAAGCAACATCCAATTAGCAACTGAATTCCAAACCTTGATCCATAATCCAAACTTGGGGTAAAATGACTATTTTACCCCCGACCTAACATGAACCAAAAACCAAGGCCCAAGCCCAAAATCAAAAGGCCCAAAACTATAAGATCCATAAGAGCCCACTAATGGCCCAATTTTCCAAATTGGGCCCAACCCGATATGGGCCTTACCTACAGCCCAACAATTCCTGGTCCAATAAGAATTTTCCAATGGCCCAAAGGTCCACGCCCATTGGGCCCACTAAAGTCCAAAACCATTGGGCCCACCAACGCCCAATACAAAATCTTGGCCCAACTAGACATGTCCAAACAAAAGTCCAAAACTCTAAGAACCTTCTGACCAAAAAGCCCAACACACGAAAACTCCAATCCAAGTCTGAAGTCCAACATGAACAAGCCCAAGAAGCCCACTGTTGGACCGAACGTTGGGCGTTCCCCTGTGGAACGCTGGGCGTTCGCAGCCTTACCGCTGATCATGACTCGACGCCGGAACGCACGACGTTCCCGAGATGAACGCGCTGCATTCCCGACCAGGGACCAAAAATTACATTTATGTCTTAATACTTTAAGTCCAAAGTTCAAATCTTCAAAGTAGCTTCCTATCGGTGTCTTAAGCCATAAAATCATCAACTTGGCACCTTTGTATGGCCCCAAAGGACCCAAACATCCATTAAAGCTTCCAATCCATAAATCAAGACCCAAAACCTTTGCATAGTTGGTCCTCAACCATCAAGTTACCATTTTCACGACGCAAACAACTCATAAATGTGAGGATCTGAAATCCTAGGCTTTTGGAGTGGCTCAAACTCCCAAAGAATATCCACATGTTCATAAGAAGCACAAAACAAGACCTAATCTAGATCTTAAGCTATAAGATAGCAAGATAGAAACTTTATACCTTATGAGACTTGTAATTGTAGCATCCAGAATCCTAGGTATATTTAAGGTGTGTTTATTTTGGGGTTTATTGAGTGACTCGACGAGTTGTGAGTTCAACTCGTCGAGTAGAGTCGAGTTGACTGCGTGGGTTTAATGAGCGGACTCGACGAGTCGGAGAGCCGACTCGCCGAGTAGGTGCTGTGTAATGAAACCCTAAATCCCCGGGTTTGGGGCCTATATAAGGGAACTTATAGCCTCATTTGCAGCTCATGAGTTGCCCAACTTCACTGAGAGAAACCTAGTCGCCTTTTTGAGCTAAAAGAGAGAATCTTGAGCTTATATTGAGTATTTTGGTGCATCTTTGGAGGGGAAGAGAAGGAATTCAAGCAAGGAACGAGAAGAGGTTGTTAGATTTGTTGCTTGTCATCCAAGAGCTTCTGTAAAAGGTGAAAAGTTCATACCTTTATCATTTATATGGTTAGATCTCTTGATTTTGGAAGGTTAGGGTTTATGCCACCTTTATTTGGGATTTCGAGCTTACAGAGTTGTCTTGAGGTTAAACAAACAGATCTGGACCTTGTGAGGTCCCTAGAGTCCAAAGGTCCCAACTTTATTCACCCATATGAAGGATATTGTGCTTAACACATTGTGAGAGCATGTTTTGGTATGTTGGAGCAAAACTACCATGCATGAACGTAAAGATTGAAGCTTTACGTGTCAATGAAGTCTTGGGATGCTAGATCCAGTGTTTGGAGTAGTAGAGTTGATTTGAATCATCTGAATGAGAAATCAGATTGAAGGGACTCGCCGAGTCTATGAGTTGACTCGGCGAGTCGGCTGGGGTTTTTCCCCGATGAGTCTGGGCATGGGTGACTCGGCGAGTTGGCGAGACAACTCGACGAGTCAAGGTGGACTTTCGTGATATGACAGAAGAAATAAGGGGACTCGACGAGTCACATAGATGCACTCGGCGAGTCAGGTCAAGCATGGACTGTTGACTCGAGTTTGACTTCTGTTGACTTTAGGGTTTGGTCATACATGAGTAATGGAGACCATGGAGGGGTAAAATGGTCTTTTACCCAATCCAAGAGTTAGAAAGAGAAAGAGAGGGCAACCTTTTGGTATTGAGTATGAATAAAGTATTAATTAAAGATATTTATCCTATGTGATAGGCGGAGGCTAGTTCGAGATTTCCGTGTGTGAGATTATTACTTGTTAGCTTTCGAGGTGAGTCTTCTCACTATACTTACAATGTGTGGTATCTTTGTGCGACTGAGATGTCTTATGTGCTTATCTGTGTATTGTGATATTCTGCATTATGTCTTTGTGATTTATGTTGAGTATTAT